TGCTAATTTTTTTTCTATCCTAAAAATTTTAAATTTTTTATGGCAATAGTTTTTATATTGAAGTTTAAATTATTTATTTTTTGTAAATTTTTTAACTAATAAAAAATTATTTAGTATATTATTCTGTAACCCATAATAAAACACATAAAATTGTATAATAGATTAAATTTTGTTTCTATTCTAAATATTTTATATTGATTTTCATTATCTTATAAGCACTGCATAAAAGGCGATCAATATACTAGCTGTGCGTGGACTGTAACATTGTCACCAAAGTCTTTGCAACGAGATTATCAGAGGTACATTTAATCATGTAGCACCACTTAGTTATAACAACAAGTATTAATGAAAGACCATTTTAGGAAAAAAGTTTATGATCAATAACGATAGTTTTTAAGACATTTTAGATTTTTGGACTTCATTGTCTTTATTACGTGTTAAACTCACATCTTATGAATCTACATGAAAAGTAAAATAAGAAAATGTTTATGGTTTATATTTTATGTTTATGTTTATTATAAAGAATTAAAAATAAACATAAATATTATAAGTGACCTAATAAACACCTGATTATATGTTGAGCATTTTTTGGTGTTTGAGATAGTTAACCTTCAGACATGAGCAAACTCAAACATTTATATGTTTATACTTTTGTCAAATAAAGAAGCTTTGCAAAAAACTGAGATGATTAGAGCCTGTGAACAAAAAAACCCTAAAATTCTTGCGTCCATACCGAAACGTGAAAGCAACTATTTGATAAACTTTTTTTTTCTCACTGTTCTTAAATAAATGTGTTTTTACCAATAAACTTTACATTTCGTAGAACAACCTCTTAGCCTTATACGACAATATAAAGTTTGTAACCTCAACTTGAGGGAGTTATATGCTCATTGTAACCTCAACTTGAGGGAGTTATATGCTCATTGTAACCTCAACTTGAGGAAGTTATATGCTCATTGTAACCTCAACTTGAGGGAATTATATGCGAGTTAAAGCAGCCGTGGCGCAGTGGTAGCGCACTTGCCTCAGAAACGTTAGATCCGTGGTTCAAACCCCACCTCTGGCGACATCGGTTGGGAAGGAGGCGTGAACTTCCCATTAAATGCTCTTCCGTGGTGCTCTGTGATAAGACCGTAAGGACTTCTTGGGGTACATTAATCAACTTCAAAAAAAAAAAAAAAAATATGCTCATTGTTTTAAATTCCCTCAATTTTAAGATGTTACGATTTTTATCATTTTAGTTTTTAAATGCTAAAAGATATTTATCAATGAAAATAAGTTTAGTTAAAAATAGTAAAAAAATGTCTTACCAACTTGTTGCTTGCACGTTTTAGTTAGCAGGCTGGGCTTTTTAGCCTGAGGCTTCAACCATCAAAGTTTTATGCAAAACATCACCACTTGACAGAAGTATAAACATGGCCGCACATTCTAAAACAGAGCCCTATGCGGGGCCTGTCTGCGGGCCCTTTTTCTTTCGCAGGAAATTTTCTTTTTTTCCCTGCAAAATAATTTTTACAAAATATTTTTTCTTCGCACAATATATTTTCAAAGGAAAATATTTTTTTTTTGACAGATACAATAAGGAAGTTATTAATTAACTACTTTAATTAAAACAATTAAAATGACCTGATTACTTTCAACCAAACAAGACAATTTTCTAATGGGTACTAAATTTGTATTTGTCAAAAGTTTTTTTATCAACAAATCGTTTAAAAATGTTACTTTAAAAAAGAAATTATATTGACAGAGTACCATAAGCTATTTTTAATGCACTTGGGCCTATTTATTCCATTAGAAATAAAAACCAAAAATTACGATCTATAAAAATAATGTCAGTAAAAGATACTTAAAGGCTGTCTTAATGATAAGATAAAATTAAAGAGAAAGGTTTTCAAGATTTATTTAAAAGAGAATATATTTAATAGCATTGGTAATAAGAAAATCACAAATATTACCTTAATTGATATTTTTGTGTTTTTTCCAAAGTAAACTTTTCAATGACATAACTGAAATCAACTCGTTTTGCTAAACTATTTTTAATATGGAGAGATGGTTTAAGAAATCTTGACAGGTTGTGCTTCTTTTCCATGATTTCACTTTATTTGCTCGTTTGCTAAATTATGTTTCTGTTGATGATACAGTTACTGGAATTGTGCAAAGCACTTTAATTGCCAGACAAATGTTGGTAAAAATGCCTTGAAGTTGTTTGTCATAAATTGAATTCAGAAGACAAAGAGGAGAACTTTCAATACCAAAAACTGTTTTGTAAATACTTTTCAGATGAAGTATTTCATTGATTAAATTTTCTGACAAATCTTTCTTGTATGTATTTACAAGTTTGGCCGCTTTTAAATTTAGATCTACATCCTCATATTTCTGCAATTTTAATGTGGGTGAGAATAAATCACATATTGCATTGGCTTCTTCAAATCGCGTGCTCAAATCATCAATTATAAAATCCAACACTGTATAAACTACAGAAGTTTTGAAATTTTGATCTTGTTCAGTAAAATAATTTCCTTTTGTAAAAATTTGAGCTTGTATTCCAATAACTTCTGCAACAACTTTTGCCTCTTGAGCAATGAGTTACGTATGTGAGTTATCCCCTTCACTAAATCTTGGATAAGGGTTGGTTCAACATCAAGAGATATTCCTTTGCTTTGTATGACGACGTTCTTATTGTTAATAGTTCCTAGTATTTTGTGTCAAAAACTATTTATAGTTAGACCTTTATAAGTTGTGAAATATTTTTTTCAAGCCTTTAGCTATGTTTTGTGCTGAAGGTGTTAGTTCTAAAATAATTGTCTGGAGAAGAACATCTAACACAGCGAGTACGCCAGGATAATGGCTTGAATTCTTTCATTCCGTTTTGTTAAAACGCCAATATAAATGAAATAAGTAAAAAACAAGAAAATTACCTGAATTGTTGAAATGTCTGTTTGTTTTCTACTTTTTAATTTTTGACAATGTTTTTGGTTTAAAAGATTTTTTTTTTACATTTATTTTTAATTCAAAACAATAATATTTTACCCGGATTTACTATTTTTCCTGTTACTACCACCGTACTCTCTGTACCTCCGGGCCCCAGTACTACAGTGCCACCATCCCCCCTCCCTGTGGGGCTCATGAGTACAAACATATAAATAATTAGAGTTTGCTCCATGCCTGAAAGTTATCTTAAACAACAAAAAAAGCTGCATCCGCCACATGTTCTAAACATAATCTTCTTTATTTGCAAATAGGCTTTAATTCTACCCTTTATTTTCAGAAAAACATTTAATGGCTTTAAGAGATTTTTTCTTCACATCTTATCAAAAATACGGGAAAAAATTAAATTTAAAATAGTTGAACATAAATTATATATTGACAAGCTTTTCATTTATTACCTTTCAGTATGATATATAACTATAAACTATTTATAAAATGTTTATCATCATAAATTATAAGATTTTTCTTTTGATAGAATGGCTTTTGTATTAACGGTTTAATATTCCAAGTAGTCCCAACCATTTTATACTCAATTGATAAATAATCTAGCTTTACATTTTGAAGTATTTTTTCTTGCTAAACTATAATTTTTAGTTTTTTTCTTCCGTTTAATACTATATAAGAAGTAAAATTATAGGTTTTTGCTTCTTTTATTTTTAGATTTTTATTTAAGTTTCTTCAAACTAGCTTAAGGTGGTCCTCAAGTGGAGGACCACCTTAAGTTTCTTCAAACTAACTTAAGGTGGTCCTCAAGTGGAGGACCACCTTAAGTTTCTTTTAGTTATGCTATTAATTAAAAAAAGAATAGTTTGAATAGTTTTAATAAATTTATATTTTTTTAGAATAAAAGTTAATGGTATAAGTAATAGTAATATAAAAATAAGTACTTACAAGTTTTTATTTTTATTTTTATTTTTTTTCGAAGTAATTAAAGTGCTCTATGAAAACCTAATGGTTTTGTTTCAGAGTACTGTCGAAAAGCATTGAACAAGAAAGTTTACGCCGACTTTTTCACAGATGTTTGTTAAATGGCCAGAGCGGACATCAAGTTTCAAATTTGATACTGAAACCAGCGAATAAACCAAATCGCCACGGCAACCCAACTTGTTCTCAAAAAAATGCTTTAATAAAATGACAAATTTTGTAATAAATATTTATGGTGTTAAAAATAAAGTTTAACAATAATAAATAAGTTATTAGTGAAATTAAAAGTTGAGATATTTTGCAAAAATAAAAGCAAAAGATAGAGGTTTGATATTTATTCTCAGAAATCTAAATCTTGAAACTATGAGATGAAAGCAAGTTTACATATTTTGACAAAAATGACTTTCGTGCATTTACGCGCTTGGAAGAAATAAGGTAAAAAAAATTTCTTTAGGTTTAAAGTTTGTAGGCGACTTTTCATTTGCTGATAATCTTAAAATATGGCTGCAAAAAAACCATTGGTTAACCAACGTTGCGTTGTAACCATATATGGCTAGTCTATTATGATCTTAATTAAAAAGCGTTGTTTAATGGAAACATAAGTGATGTAATTTTTTTTTAATGTAATAAACACTTGATTGCCTCTTAAACTTTTTTTTTTCATTAGTCTAAAAGCTGTGTAATGTCTAACTTACAGCTAGTTTGAAAAACTTGTAATAAAATAAGCAACTCTGTTGTTTAGAGGTTTTAATAATAAATTAGATCCAACAAACTAGCTTCTTAAATTAATATTTAAGTTCCAGTCAGATCAGCAAAAACTGTTTAACAGACCAGATTTAATTAAAAATCAAATTAAAGTGATTTCATCAGGTGCTGTTTAATTGCGATGTTTTATTTGTATTTTGTTGACATTAATACAGTATGGTACCTAATTATCAATATTCAAAACTGACATATACCTCGCAATTTCACGTAACAGGTGCTTTTTGACATAAAGTTACCTAGTGCAAAGGTATTTTCTCGGGTCTGTGAATTTTGTATTTCTCTTTTTTTCATTGTCGACTTCCGTTTTCAATTCATTCACAACGTACCGGCACACTCGAAGCATGTAAAAGGAGAACTTAACTGAATAGCAATAGGTAGTTTTGGTATGATCTGTAGATAAAAACAAGAATTTAAAAATTTATTTTCTTTTTTAATTTTTCAAAAAAAAAAATTTATATTGACAAAATAGTTGCAAAGCGGACATTCCGAATTAATTGATTAAAATAAATGTCTATATCACTGGAATGTGAAACAAGAAGCTTAGACCAAAGAAGTACTTATGTGGAAGAAGAGTCTGACTCGAAAAAATTACCAGAACCCTTGAAAACTGATTTATACATAAAAAAACCTACTGACAATGGAGTTAATCATCAGTTGAATAGGTTATACTTGTAATAATATGTATTTTTATTTCATTTCTTTATACAAATATATTTATACTATTGTCATAATTTTATTCAATATGTTGTGAGTCACATTATTTTTGCAAATTATTTTACTATTGTTATTATTGATGCAACAACTACTTCTACTACTTTTTTTTATTATTATTTATATTATTATTATTACTATTATTGTTGCTAGTATTATTGTTGTTATTATTTTTTTATTGTTATTGTTATTATCATTATTATTGTTATTACTACTATTACTACTACTACTATTACTACTACAACAACAAGTACTACCACTACTGCTACTACTTTTTTTCATTTTATTTTTAGCTATATAAATAATTATTAATAGATATAAATATATATATATATATATATATATATATATATATATATATAATATATATATTTGTATATATATATATATATATATATATATATATATATATATATATATATATATATATATATATATATATATATATATATATATATATATAATAATTATTTATATAGCTAAAAATAAAATTCAGTTGTTAAAAAAATGTTATAATAGTAATAACACACAATACAACGAATAAAATTATGACAATAGAACAAGAATATAAGTAACAAATGATTGTTAGTTTGTCAAATGTTGATTACATTTTTTAAAAAAACTTATAATCACTTTTATACTTATAAATAGTTTTTAAATAATTGAAAAAAATGTCTTAATAAAGAAAAAGAAGTATAGTATAATATATCTAAATAAGTTAAAGCATATTATGAAAAAAAATTTCTAGAATAAACTACTTTAAAACTGTTAGATAAAATGAAGTGTAGAAAATTCTAAGTGAAAATAAATGTTTTTGCACAAACTAATGTACAAGTAAAAAATTTATAAGTAAAAGTAAATAAAAACAAATAAATTCTGCACAATTTACAAACAAAATAATTACAAAGATCATTACATTTGTTGAATAAGATTAAATGCCTTTTTTTTTTTTTAATGTCTTTTTTTTTAAAAAAAAAAATTATTATGCATTTCCTCCTACTTATTTTTTTGCTTTTTTTTATGTTTATTGATGTTTATTATTCTTTTTATATTTTCCGTTAACATTTTCATTAACGTTAGAAATAATCATTAAATTATTTTTCGCAGTACTTTAATTTAATTAAAAATCAAATTAAAGTACTGTGAAATATCAATCAGTATTTTGCAGTACTTTAATTTGATTTTTGTTTACACATTTATTTTGAAATTAAAATTCTTTATCGTAATGTAAAAATAACTCACATAAATGCTCTTTGGGGTAAAGTTATTCTTTCTTTAAGTATTAGTTAACTGTATAAAGAACACAATAGAAATGAGTATGGTGTGACTATGTGAGGCTTATACCTTGATTACTGTTTAATATCAGGTAAAAAGGAAATGAATTATAAACAGTTAATTACTTTTAACAAATAAATAATTAAAAATAGCTTGTATGTATAAGTTATATATATATGTATATATATATATATATATGTGTGTGTGTGTGTGTGTGTGTGTGTGTGTGTGTGTGTGTGTGTGTGTGTGTGTGTGTGTGTGTTATATATATATATATATATATATATATATATATATATATATATATATATATATATATATATATATATATATACATATATATATATATATATATGTATGTATATATATATATATATATATATATATATATATATATATATATATATATATATATATATATATATATATATATTATATGTATATATATATATATATATATATATGTATATATATGTATATATATGTATATATATATATATATATATATATATATATATATATATATATATATATATATATATATATATATATAACACACACACACGCACACACACACACACGTGGTGTAGGAAGGTCACGAAAGTTAGGGGCGAGGGCAAAGTTTATACAAAGTTTAAACAAGCTGTGATACACATTACAGTGTACAGATTCTAACAACAATAGATGTCAGACTTTAACAGCTTTTCACAGTTTTTCATATAATTGTCATAAATGGTTTTGAATCTATTTAAATTATTGCATCCACATCATTTTGTGGTAAACAGTTCCATTTGTCTACTATTTTATTTTATAGAAAAATTATGTCGACCGTTTGTTTTTTTGCTTTGTTGTCTATATATTCTTTTATTGTGCCCTCTTGTAATTGAATTTTTTATAAATATAGAAGGATTGTACCAATTAAATATATTTAAGTTATTCATAAACCTGTATAGTTGCACTATATTGCTCCTCAACCTTCTATTATTTAATGTCTAAAGATAAATTTTAAAAAATCTATTTTTGTATGATAAACCTTTTAAACTGTGGATACAAGTTGCTCTTTTTGGACTTGTTCGATCATATTGATATATTTTTGTAAATGTGGATTCCATAATGGTGATCCATATTGAAGATGAGGTCTAACTAATGAAGTAAATAGTAATCTAATAATTCTTTCATCTAAATATTAAAAAAAGTGTTACATTAGGCCTAGGTTTTGGTAAGCCTTATTGACTGTATAGTTAATTTGGTAATTCTTATTATTATATAATATTTTCTTAAATAAGTAGTTTTTTTATTTTACTTTTTTTTAATAAATAAAAACTTTTAACAAAATATTATACACCTAAATGTTTTGACACCTTGATATTAAAATATTCTAAAAGATACTCCTTCCATTTTGAAATACTGTTCTGATTTGCATTCAATGTGAAGAATATATGAAAATAAATTTTGTTGCTAATTATATATATATATATATATATATATATATATATATATATATATATATATATATATATATATATATATATATATATATATATATATATATATATATATATATATATAAAATATATTTTATTGTAAAAATTCTTTACATTAAATGCGAGTTAAAATAGTATTTTGGAACGGAGGTAATAAACTGTAAAATTAAACTTCTTCATTTGTATATAGGTAAACTTAATTTTTTTGATAAAAATTAAAGATTCAGAAGTATAAATGCTTAAATGATAATATTGATTTTCTGGATTCCTTACCAAGCAAAACAAATTGGATTCAGTTTTTTACAATATAACTTATGGATTAAGTCTATATATAAAATAAAATTTCTGTTATAGTGATAAGCTTTAGTTTATAAATTTTATCTGTTCAGTGATGCTGTAATTGTATTCTTAAGGTATTAACAGTGTATGTAAAAAAAATATAATTATTATGTTTATCATTTTTGATATTTCAATTCAAAAAAGTTTGAATGATTGAGATTGCTGGAATTAAATAATCTGACACAAATAAATTAATACTGACATAAATTCAACTATGGTCTTTTGCTGCAGATAACTCAAAATAAGCATATCAGTGATATCTAGACAGATATGTCTATATATAGAATATAGAATAGACATAAAATATTTTAACAAACAACTTTATTTTGTAACAATTAAATTTTTTGTTTAGCTTGTGGAAAATCTTCATTTGTAAATCAAATTTATTAGCCTTTTTATTATTTGTGAATATTATTGGTAAAAACACTCTAGAACAGTTTAAAGCACATTTTATTAGTATATATAGAGTTTTAGTAAAAAGTAAAACTTCATGTGACATACACCTAAACTAGGTTTATGTCAAGTGCCCTGTGTAGATTATCTGATTACATAGGTTATAATTGTAATATATATATATATATATATATATATATATATATATATATATATATATATATATATATATATATATATATATATATATATATATATATATATATATATATATATATATATATATATATGTATATATATATATATATATGTATATATATATATATATATATATATATATATATATATATATATATATATACATACATACATATATATATATATATATATATATATATATATATATATATATATATATATATATATATATATACATACATATATATATATATATATATATATATATATATATATATATATATATATATATATATATATATATATATATATATATATATATATATATATATATATATATACACATATATATATATATACATACACACATTAGTCTCAAAAAACAACATTTTTGAAAAATATGCTCCCACCCCCTAATTATGAAAGAATACACTGGATTCAAAAATTTTTTAGTAAAATGTATATTTAGGGGTCCCCCAAAACTATTAAACATTTAATGAGTTCCTAATACTATCAAAAAAATGTTGGGTCCCAAATAAAGCGAAATCATACGAAAATTCCAAAAATGATATTTGTTTTATAAAAAACTTATTGAAAAAGAAAATATTGCCAAAAAAGTTTGTAAAAATGCACTTTTTCCTTTTTAGTAAGGATAATAATAAATTTCATTTTTTATTCTGTTAAAATCTAACATATTTATTTTTATTTAATATATCATTATAAAAATTATCATTTTCAAAATTTTCATATAAATTTGCTTTATTCATGACCCAACTTGATACACTTTTTAAGAATTTTTTTTTTTTGATAAAATTAGGAACTTGTTGTATTTTTAACGGTCTTGAGGGACCCCTAAAAAGATTTCAAAGTCAGTGTTTTTTTTTCATACTGAACACATTCACAGAGGGTGGTAGCATAATTTTTTCAAAAATTTTGTTTTTTGGGACACCCTTATATATATATATATATATATATATATATATATATATATATATATATATATATATATATATATATATATATATATATATATATATATATATATATATATATATATATACATATATATATACATATATATATATACATATATATACATATATATACATATATATACATATATATACATATATATACATATATATATATACATATATATACATATATATTTTTAAAATTTTTCAGAATGAGTAATGTTACTTTTGAAACTATTCAACCAAATTATCTGGCAGAATCTAATACTCATTCTACAAATGGTGACTTCCATGATGTTGATTTAGAGGATGAAGAAAGATTGCTTGTTGATGAGTCAACAAATGATGATCAATTAGAAGTAAGTGATAATGAAGAAAAACTTCTTCTAAGTGATGATGAAAATTCTGCAGGTAGTGAATATAAAATTAGTATTGACAGTGAAAAAAATAAAATAAATTGTTTCCCACCTGTAAATGAAGAAAACTCATCAAAAAGTCAGTTTATTGACTGTGAAATAACTTCTGAACTACAAAAAAATAATGACAATAATGAAAATTTACTTTCTGCAGAATTGAATGAGTGTCATCATTCTGTTGCTGCTGCAGATACAAGTAAAGAAAGTCGTATTGCTGAGCAACTCACAAAAGTTGAGTTACTCAAGGAAGAACTAAAATGTGAAGAAGCAGCTTTAATATTCCTTAAAAAAATTGTAGAATCTCAACAAGAAAATATATATGGCAAATTAAACTGTGGGTCCTCTAATTTACACTCAAGACAAATAACACACGTGCCAAAAGGAAATACATCTTCAAAACAATTGCCCTTACAACCTAATAAGTCAAATCAACCAAACCAACAAAGTCAAAAGTACTATATTCAAGTTGGCAATCAGTTAGTACCAGCACCTGCTGCTGGCACTCCAGGGACTAACCAATCAAATCAGTACATAAATACCACTAATGGTTCTCAAAGTTCACAACCTCAATCTCAGAAACAAACTTCTATACCACCTAAAATATCTGCAGAGCAAAAACAAAATGCTGCAAAAACGGCGTTACATCGTCAGCTTGAACAAACACTTCTTCAAATACCACCTCCTAGACCACCTCCAGCTGATTGGAAAGCCATTCCTAATGTGAACAGCATGGATTTTATGATGCTAGTAGGTCTGGATGAAGTTGTTGACTCTATATTAGAAATGGATTCAAAACCAACAATTAAAAAAGCATTAGCTGAGTTAATTCCTTACAATCCTAGAGTTTGCAATCAGTGCAATGTAGATTTTTCCCCATGCTGGAAAAGCAAAGATGGGGAAGATTTTGTTTTGTGTGAAAGATGTGCTCTGCAAAATATTAAAAGAGACTTAAAAGCTGAGCATACTAAAAGATTAAAAGACGCTTTTCTCAAAGCTCTTACACAAGAGCAAGAAATAGAAGAGAGGATAAAAGCTGGGGAAGAAGTTAACATACCGAGCTTAGCAAGCAATGATAAAATTGAGCGTATCAATCAACCATCACCAACATTTCTTCACCAAATACCACTTATTTCGTTACCGCAAACGCATCCAATTATTCAACCTAGTCACTTACCTCAGCATGTGCAAAGTCCTACAGAATCTCGGAACCAGCCTTCTGCCAGTAATCACCACCATCGAACTGTCGGTAATCATCATCAGCATAAAATAGTATCTCATTATCCTCACCACACTTCACTTGTTCAACAGTTACACCACCAACATATTCAACAACAACAGCATGAAATCGAACCTCAGCGTCACAGCTCTTCTAGGTGGCATCCTTATATGTCTACATCCAGCCACCATCACCGTGAGCATGGACACCATCGTAGTTATAATCCATCTCCATCTTCAGGTGATATTACAAATCATCAGGAGTATTATGTAGTTCATCATCCTCAACATTCAAGTGTCAGGTATATTAGTCGATAATTTGTCTATTTTAGCAAAAGGTCTAATGATCATCAAATTTTAAAATAGAGGCTCTTCTGCGTTCTCATTTAAATATTTAGTCCAGACCAAAAAAGTAACAAACAATAATAACAGCATCCAAGTTTTTGATTATTATATCAAAAAAGTTATTGATAGTTCACCAATTAGTGATCCATATGATACATTTATTGAAAAAAGTACTACTTTTGGAAACAAGCATTCGGTTCCTTTTACTTCATTTTGGTATTAACAATTTTGTTGAAATGGTCTTTGAATCCTTTAACACATTACAAATTAGTTATATGATATTGTACGAAAAGCAATTGTACTTAACTGGCTTTGCTTTTTGATCAATTATTCTATGTGCTAGAGGCATTTTTTGCTCGTTTCGATTTGACCTCGTTTTATATTCTTTGATTTAATAATTTTTTATCATTTCCCTCAGTTTGCAAATTTATTGGGTTTTTACTTTTGTTTAGTTAAAATAAATTTTTTTTTTTTTAATAAACGCCTTGGAGTTCACATTAAGAATTTGAATCCTTGTCTCATTATTTATTTATCCGTTATTCTCTTTGTATTTAAATTATTGTTGTCGTTTTTATAAGTTTATGGCTACAGATGTTAACCAAATTTTAAGTGACCTGTTAGGTTTTTTTTTTTTTACCCTTAGTTAAACTTGGCTATGTTAATACATTAAAGCATAAGCAAGAGATAAGTTGTGCGCGTTCTGTAAGTTAAAGGAATTACTTGTTTTTCAATATTATTCGAAAATAGAATATTTCGATGTTATTTTATTAGTAAGTTTTTAAGACTGTTGAGGCAATCCCGCTACCGCCTACAATGCCACGTTCTTATACATTCCTATAAAAATCACTATGAAATGGCGACAGCGAAACGCAAACTTACATTGCGTTTTTCACATTTTCCTTTTTTCGTGATGAAATAGTTTTTACCCTACTGAGTTGCGAAGGATGATTAAATATTTTGATAGCAACATTTGCATTTTTCAAATAAATTCAGATTAAACTTTTATTTTCGTGATTTTTTCATTACACGACTTTTAATAAATGTAATGGAAAATCTGACGAAAATTAATGTTTAGTTAAATTTTTAAATTAGCTACCCCATAATTTAAACAAAACAAAATATATGTAAAAATCAAAAAAACAATCAGTCTATGAATGAGAATTTTTATTTAAAACTTGGATTTTTTTATACAGTTCATATTTCAGCTATAAAATAAAAATTAAAATATTTGTTCTATAAAAACGCAGTTATTCAAAATTTTTACTGAGACTAAAAATACTTGTAATCTCTAAATATAAGAATTTTTAAGTCCGCATAAATAAGACAAGCAATACACCTAAGTAATACTTACGCTAAAAAACATGTAAATATATTTTTATAAACATAAGATGAACGAAGACATGCAATAAATATATCATCAAACAACAACGTACAAAACAAATAATTGACTACAAAATGAATGGAAAAAAAACATTAATGCCAATGTGTTAACGTAATTCGCGTAGTGATAAAATAATAGTTATCTCCTCAGAGTCGCGTCTATTATTACTGGCGTTTCGAAGAGGATCAGTACCAATAACTAGTTGATCCCTCCAGACAAACGTCATCGCCACTTATGCTTTACCTAACGACTTACGCCAATTTCACCCCGCAGTATAAAAGGACTCACTACCAATCTAAGTGAATTTTTGAGCCCCAAAATCTTATTACCAAAATTTTTTTAATTTTTAGAATTATATTTGATATAAAATTGAAAGTGTTGGAGACCCTCTTTTTGCCGGGGCCCTGAAGCTTCAGCTTCATTAGCGTACAGGTGGATCCACGCCTGGCCAAAACCCAACTATACCCAAATTTGTAAAACGCCAACATTTTTTTGATTTATCCGTTATTTTTTATATTATTACTATTATCAAGGAATTTTTATGCTATATTATCTTACATTCATTACACAGCTTTGTTTTAATTTTAACATGCGCAATTTTCGTCTTTTATTATTATTCAGAGACTTTCTTATATCCTTCATTACATGTTTACATTTTTGCGGGTAACATTTTGAATGGTTTTTATGAGACGTTTTTTTTTTCACTATCATAGACTATTAAATTATTGTAATGATTTTGGGTTGCTTATTTCTCTTACATTTTTGATTGGTTAACATGGTTCAAATGAGGTATCTATAACAGCGTTAGAGTTTATTGAAGTGTCTATTGTTGTATTATTGATTATTTTTTTTTAATTTTGATAAGATATACTGCTTTCTGATTGCCTTGGGTTTATTTATGCTAAAAATACCTATTTGGTTTAATATGTTTTATAAAGAAATTTATTAGTATTTTAGTGTTTCTATTAGAATTTTAATTTATTGTGTTTTCATGTTTTTTTTTGGTGGTATAGTAAGTGATTTATTTAGTTATTTTTATTTATATTGTATTGTAGATCTACACTTTTAATATTATATCATCAAAAAATATTGGTGCTTTACAAATTTGGGGATAGTTGAGTTTTGGCTATTTGTAGTGAGTCCTTTTTTACTGCAGTATGGAATAGGCGTAAGTTGCGGGGTAGAGCATAAGCGGCGTTACGTTTATCTGACGGGATAAGCTAGTTATTAGTGCTGATCCTCATCAAAACACCAGTAATTATAGACGCGACTCTGAGATGTTTATTACTTAATCACTACACAAATTTTATTTACACATTGGCATTATATTTTTTCCATTCTGAGGCAATACATTGTTGTATGCATACTTTTTATTTTGTAGACAACTTTTTGTTTTATAAGTTTTTGTTTGGTGATATATTTGTAGTATATCTTAATAGTTTATAAAAAAGTTTTATTTTTTATTATTGTAAGTACTGTGTAGGTGAATTGTTTGTCTTATATATTTTTAAATATTCTTCTTTTAATCTTTATTTTTGTCTTGACAACTGTCAAAATATGCTTTGTTCAAAAAATAATTCTTCTTTATTCTATTGTACTTCATATTTCTCTCAGGCGTTCGCTGCTCGTATGTGACCATTCGGCGAATTTGTATGCTAAAGTTTTTAAATAATTTTTCCGCATCTTTAAGGATTTCTATAGAATAAATCTTACTTTATGAGTATTAAATTTATGAGACGGCAATCGTGCAAAAGAGTGCAATTGGAATAAGAAAGCCATGCAGTAAACGTTTTTTCTAAAGAAAAAACGTTTACTGTATAGCTTTTTTTGTGTAGAGGATCACGATTGTACCTTAAATTAAAGAACAACCGTTATTTAAATTATACCATTATTATGTATACGTGACAAAAATAGTTTTTAAATTCGGGAGGCTGCATAAGCGTGAACTGGCATATGTGTGAACTAGCATAAATGCAAAGCGTTGCAAAAACTGGCATAAGTGCAAACTGGCATATGTGCAAATTGGCATAAGTGCGCTAAAATATTTTGCAAACATTGGCATAAAGCGAATTGGCATAATTATGAACTGGCGTAAGTGCAAAGCAGTTACAAAAACTCGCACAAGTGCGAACTGGCATGAGTGCGAATTGGTTTAAAGTTCGCTGAACGTATTTGCAAACATTGGCATAAGTGCAAATTGGCATATATGTGAACTGGCATAAATGCGAGACAGTTACAAAAACTGGCATAAGTGCAACTGCAAATTGGCATAAATGCTCCGAATAAATTTGCAAATATTAGCATAAGTACAAATTGACATAAGTGCGAATGACATAAGTGCGAATTGGCATAAGTGCGAAGCAGTTATAAAAACTGACATAAGTAAGAACTGGCATAAGTAAAAATTGGCATAAGTGTGCCGAATAAAATTTCAAATATTGGCATAAGTGCAAATTAGTATGCTAATTCGCAATTATGCCAGTTCGCAATTATGCCATTTTGCACTTATATTTGCAAATACGTTCGGCAAACTTATGCCAATTCGCACTTGTAACAGTTTTTGTAACTGATTTGCACTTATGCCAGTTTGCATATATGCCAAATCGCACTTATGCCAATTCACACTTATGCCAATGTTTGCAAATTTGTTCGGCGCACTTATGCCAATTCGCACTTATGCCAGTTTGCACAATCTGAGCGCGTTCTATACGTTCTAAAACGGCCAAAGTATTTTTTGTTTAAAGTAATCAAAATCTAAACCTCAGGTTAATAAATTATTCAATCAAAATATAGTACTCATGGTAAATAGCTATCATGGTAACAACTTTCAAAAACAAAATTGCTTTTTAAGTATTAAAATTAGCCATAGCATTGCAGACTCCAGTTCTAATTGACTAAAGATATACATTTTGTTATAAATACCGTAATACTTTGTACCAATGATAAAAAATGTAACTTTTTTGATAAAAAAAAATTTTCTGATACTATTTTGATGTAAAATGTTGTGTATAACTGGTGTTATTTAATCAGTAAAATATTGTATTCACCAAACTGAAGATTTTATGGAGTTCATGCGGCAGCCAAAGTCGGGGAACTTTGACATAGTATTTTGAGATTTAGCATAAGCTTATCAGGGCAGGCGCAAGTAGGTGTCACTTGGGGGGGGGGTACCATTACAACTTTTGCCGACTAAAAAAAAAAGGTTCTCCTTTTTTAAAATTTGCCAACGCTATAACGACATTTGCCACTGACTATCTAAGTACAGACTATCTAGTCAAAAAGGTTCAAATTTGCCGACCAAATGAACAAAAAAATCATTGATGGAAAAGGGTTACACCCCCATACCACACCACCACTACCCCCTGCCTTGAGGATTATAAATAAAGTGTTATTATCTATAATTAATGTAATTTAAATCTATAGTTTGCATTTATTCATAAATAGAACTTAAAATAACTAAATAAAGATTAAAAAGAAATATAAACAAAACTAATTCATCTTAAAAAGCAATTAGTGTAGATTGAATATTTTTACAAACATTAATAACACTATGGTTAAAATGGAAGGAAAAATTGTCACCTAATAATACTTTTTTTTTTCAGTTTGTTTCATTTTATATGGTAATGACGCCCAACTTAACCAATCCTCAAAACTAACTAGATCGTTTTCACAAAATATCACAGTGAAGCCAACCTTACTGCTGTTCATAACTTTACATAAAGCAAACTGGTTTCATTAAGCTCCAAATGTTATAAAGTGCAGTTTTTTCACGTTCGTGCTTAATGTTTTCAAAATAAAGTTTGAGTTCTTCTTTGTTTATAACTGCACATTTTTTTAACGTTTAATGCGATTCTATTAGTTAACTGTGAACGCTCAATAAAACCTAAGCCCATTACCAGTTATATTGTTTGAAAAGATTTTTACTGTATAATTTTTTAATTTCAAATAAACAACAACTAATATTTTA